CACTATTCAAGTTGACTTTTTAGGATACACCATTTAAAATGATGGTCTTATGATGGATCATAAAAAGGTGCAGACTATTGTGGATTAGAAGATCTCAAATACAAATAGAAATGTGTAATATTTTTTTGGAAGTTGCCAATTGTTACCTGATATTTATCAAGATTTTTTTTTCAAGTTATGGCTCTACTTATACATCTAACATGTATAGTCAAATTTGAGTAGAATACAGAAGCTCAAGCATCTTTTTAAGCCTTGAAGAGAGCATTTATTTTTACACCAATCTTATATTACATTGACTTTTCCAAGACATTCTTCATGAAAACAAATACATTAGACTTTGTTATGGATGTTGTTTTGTTACAAATAGAAGTAGATGACAAGCTCCACTTGATAGCTTTCTATTCAAGAAATTTTTTACCAACCAAGATTAACTATGAGATCTATGATAAAGAGTTTTTTTTTTTTTTTTTTTTTTTTTTTTTGTATCATAGACTCATTTCAAGAATAGCATCATTATCTAGAAGGTGCTTTAAGTCTAGTCACCGTTATTGTAGTAGAGAAAATTTTTCCTTAAAAAAGCATTAGACCTCTAATTGCTACTAATTGCTAAAATAATTTGTAATTTTATAAAAATAAAATATAATTTATATTTTACCTTAATAGAAATAGTTAAATTAAATATACATGCCTTAGATGCTCAAGAGTCTCTAAGATATGACAAGATATCTTAAAATCACTTCTATTCTTATAGAGATTCTTTTTAAATTTTTATCATCTAATAACTTCCATCTAGTTGGATTCAAACCTTTCCATAAATTAACTTATATCTTTAACTATCTCTATAAAAATAAATTAATTATAGTTTTATTATAGATCTTTAGTTATTGCCTAATTTCTATTAGATATTAAATATGTCAATGTTCAAATATCTATGTATTAAATCTATTATATCTCAAAAATCCAATACTCAAATATTATGAAATTTTATTTATAACTTTATAACATATTCATATACACTTATAAAAATTGTGTGCCAAAATTTCGGCCAAAAACTTAAGGTATGGTCCAAATCATAATTGTGCACATATAAAAAACTTGATGTCATAGATAGACATAATTATTTAAATAAGAAGTATAAAGTAGAATGTAAATATAGATAGACGTAAGAATAATATGTGAACAAGTTTTTTAAAAGTTTTATAGACACAAATTTGACATTATATATATTTTCAATTAATTTGTAGCTTAAAAATTTAGCCAATAGGTTTATCACATGTTGCACATGTTTGGCTACTTGTCATACAACTTGGTCATATGGCATACATGTTAAAAACTTGTCTTGTAAGTTAGACATGTGCCAAAAGTCTTATAGAATGTCAATATGCAGTTCTTAATTAGATTGTATAAATAGAGACAAGAGTGAAGGCTTTTTTACTCTTGTCAAGGCCTTATTTGTTATTTGTTTTGTTTTAAGAGTCTTTAGTCTTCTCATATCTAAGAAAAGCCATTCTAGTCCTAATATTATACCATTTTTGAATGAATATCTACTTTCTTTGAATGGTACAAGAATGTATTGATTCTTTAATTATTTGTAGTTCATGACTTTGACACTTGTCATGCAAGTTAAATATGAGTCTTATAAGTTGGACATGTATTAAAGGTCCTATAGTATGTCACCATATAGCTCCTAGTTAGATAGTATACATAAAAGTAAGAATGAGGCCTTTCGTATTCTTATCAATTTTTTTTTTTTTTTTTTTTCTAATTGTCACAAACACATAATTATTGAAATTATTATCTAAATAATATGAATAGATAGAAATAAGTAAAAATAGATTAATTTCATAATATCTTTTAAAAAAGCTTCTTACAAGCTTCATAGATGCCACTTTGATTTTACATGTGTTTGTAGTTGATTGGTAGGTTAAAAACTTGATCAACAAGTAAACCACGTGCAACATATGTTGATAACTTGATGATACTAATTCCACATGATACTAATGTAGTTTCAAGGACTTTTAGTTTTTTAATCTTTGAAAATATTCATTTCAATTTCTTCTTAAACATATATATATATATATATATATATATATTTATTTTATTTTTATTTTTTTTCTTTGAAAATGTCTCATTTTTTTATTTATATTCTTGAAGTTCTTATCCTTAATATATGGTGCCTTATAATCAAATTAGATTGTTAAATGTTGTACTGGAATTTTTTAGTTTTTAATTTTAATAATTAAATAAAAGCTTTGGTTATAAATTAATAAATATATTTATGCAGAAATAAAAATTAATAATAATTTAGTTTTAAAAAAAATTATAAAAATAAAAAAATATTGAAAAGAATATAATTAATAACATGAATTATTTTGAAGCTAAATGTAAAAAAAATAGCAAATAATTTGGAAATACAAAGCCAGATTTTTTATCTTAATTTTTTATTATAAGATTTTTTATTAAAATAAATATTTTAAATCATTAACAAAAAAAATATATTTTTTATAAAGTATGAATGAAAAAAAAATAGAGAAAAAAATCATATTTTTAAAAAATTAAAAAACTAAGAAAAAAATTATTTTAATTAACATGAACTTATAATTAATTTATAGGATAAAAATTTAGCCTACAAGTTGGTCACTTGTATTACTATTTGGCCATGTGATGCACATGTTGAAAGATTGTCTTAGAAGTTGGACACATGTCATGTGACTTATAAGGCATTGTCACATAGCTTCTTAGTTAGATAGGAGATATGGAGGCAAGAGAAAGTCCTTTCTCAATCTTATGAATGTCTTTCAAACTTCAAGTCTAGTTTCATAAATCACTAGTCTTTTCATCTTAGGCAATAACCATTTTAGTTTCTTCTTAAATATATATACTTATGCATTTACTTTTTGTCTTCTCTCTTAGATATATATCTTATTATGTTTATGTATATTTTTTGAATTCTTATCCTTGACAATTGATTGACCTTCAAAAATTAATAAATGATCTTAAAAACCATCAACTCTATAATTATTATATTCTATATATTTTAAAATCGATGAATCAATATAAATAATATAATATAATATAATAAATTCTTTTAGGAAAAAATAGATTAATTATAAAAAAAAATTAATCAAATAAAAAGATAGATTTTAAGTAAATAAAGTATTAAATTAACATGGATTTATTTAGAAAAAATAATTAGTAAGAATTTTTTGGACTTTATTAAAAGTATAGTCATAAATTGATTAGATCTTGAATAAAATAAGTATTTAAAGAAGCAATTAAAGAAACTTGAAAAAATAAACACATGAACTTAAATAAGTAATAATATTATTATAAGATTTAAATCTAGGCCAAAAACGATTGTGGATAGATTGCGATTCCTTAATATATATATATATATATATATATATATTTGAAACTATTTTTATTTTTTAAATCATTTGACCTACATCAAGTTTAATTATAAAAGATAAGTGTTATTTTTTTCTATTATATACTTAGTAAAATTAATGTTTTAGAAAGGATTGTTCTTAGTATTTAGAATCAAATTTTGATTCAACATTTTTACAACTAAAAATCTATTGATGAAAAAATTTAGAGTGTAAATAAAAATAAAATTTTAGAAAATAGTACAAGTATTAAAGCTTTTAGTAGACATTATTAAAAAATTTATTTTGTAATAACATGAAAGAAGATAAAATGATAACTTATGTTCTTTTACTTAACATGTGGAATTTAGACATTATATTAAGTTATACAATACTATAATAAATATATATATATATATATATATATATATGTGTGTGTGTGTGTGTGTGTGTTTTCTTGATTATAGAGAAAAAAAATTAATATATTTTTTATTATTCAAATAAATATTTAAAATGTGACAATATGTTTATATATATAGATATATATATATATATATATATATAATCATATACTAAAGATATCATAAGCAAAAAGAATCTACTAAAAAATATGGAGTCATTTTCAAATGATGTGAGTAGAGATTCCATCTTAATAGCATCAATTCAAGCTATTTAAAATGAATTGCAAATTGAAAGTTTTTACACAAATGAGTATAATTTGGATTCATTAATTAGACTGATTTATAACAAGAATTTTAATAATCTCAATTAAAAAATTACAAACAATTTATCAAAAGTTATATATTTGTATCAATATATACAAATATACAAATATAATCATAGTTAAAAATAATAGAAAATAGTAATATAGCAGAATCACATATCTAAAAAAATGCCATCATATGATAATGCTTGAAAGAATACTTTATCCAAGTTAAAATTTACAGTTGGATATTCAATCACATTGTTTGAAATTCTGCTTCACATTTTGGTTTTGACAATGACTCTAGTTTGATTGGTACCGAACATAGAGATTGTGTGCTACTAAAACAAGACTAGAAATCAGAACTTGAATGAGACCATTAAGTTTTCTTAGATGAGCATTATTATCTTTTACAATAAATGTAAAATATTGTAAAAATTGAATCCTATAAATTTCCAACAAAGATCTATATTGAAAGTTACATCTATGATGTTTGCCAGCAAGCCTCAAAAATCAATCATTGCAAGATGTACCAGTAAATCCTTAAAACTCATTAATTGTTCATAACCAATTGTAAATAATCCTTGATGCATATCTCTAAGGTGCATTAAAAACACTTATGCAAATGATGTTAATAATAAGAGAATTGTTTTCAACACAACATCCTTTGACATCCTTCCAACTTGATAGATTTACTAATATAGTTTAGGGTTTGGGTTTTTTTTTGAATTGGCAAATAATTTTTGTTTGCTTAATTGTTTTTATTAAGGTCCTTGCATTTATGTGCTCAGCTGCATACATGTGTGTGTATATATATATATATATATATATATATATACATATACATAACACAACTTTGTGTGTAGGTAAAGATTAGCTACTAAGACTAAAAAAGATGGTGTAAGTTCCAAAACGACACCGACAAGCTCAAAGAACCAGAGTATTGCGTAGTGTTGTATTTATTATGAAGAAAAGAATAGAGCAATGCTCACCGAGCGTTTAAACAAATATAAGAAGAAGCAGGTGGAATTGAATTTATATGTGTTCTCCCTTAACCCTGAATGCATTAGAGGCGGTGGAGTTGTCTTGTAAGGTTGCCCATCACGCTGCGGTGGTCTGCTCTCGCACAACTCGAGCTTACTTCGCTCGTACGGCAACAAAAATAGAGCCTTTGTCTCCCCGTCCGATCCGAAAATTCTCGTCTAGGAATGTGGTCTCGATCCATCTGGAGCAATCGTATCCATTTGAGTAACAAACCAACCCCAGGAATTGAACTGTGAAGCAAAATATTCACTTAGATTGCGAAGGCTTACCCTTTGGGACTGATCCAGTTGAGCGAGACGGAAGGAAAGGTCACGGAACCGAGCTTGACAACAAAGCTATCAAATGTCACGTCCACACGCACTGCCCCTTTCTCAGTTGCCGGTGACTTCGTTACGGATCCAAAAATTATTAGAGAACCTGCACATTAAACAATACTACTCGACTTTTAGAATTTACACCCAAAATAGACTTACGGTCACGCATGCGCGAACATGACTGATCAAGCTCTACCTTGAGTACCAAGAAATGTGAATTCAGCAATATTCTCTGCAGTTCCACGCACGGCATCAATAACCTGCACGAACACCACTCAAATTTAAGTTATGAGAAAGAAAAAAAAAATTGGTCGGGCATCAAATTGACGTCAAGGACTGCAGGCGTGTCACACCTGAAAACTGCGAGATTGCCGAACGGTGCCAAAGCTAGCAGGCTTCACTCGAGAAAGAAACGGACCTTCTTCTGTTCCTGCGTACTTGTCTGATGTCTTCTCTACACGACAAGCACCCCACATCCTACAATTTAGTCTCAACCTACAATCATCTGAATTGGTAATAACCAAACAGTAACCAATGCCTTACCATCAACAGGAGCCGTGTATAGCAAAGCCCAGCGACCAGAAAATAAAGGTGAGTTGACTGGATCTATAGTTGGATTCTGGCTTTCTAGTTCCTGCAAGAACACCAAGGGCCTGATATCAATCTACCTGCGGGTGGGTTGATAATTTGCATGCCAGAAAATTACGTCTCACTTCATTCGCTACACGACTCCTGAATGTGTCCACTCACCTGAAGCAGAGAAAAGATATACAGGCGTTGCTCATTCGTGGCTGTCTGCAGCACATGTTATACAAAAAGTGTGAAACTAAGGCTTAAGGATGTAGTAAACTGCATTCACTGTGAACGAACGACTGCTGTAATTACAGAATCGTGGACAGCTGGTATTTACATAGAAGACACGAGATTATATCATGGGAACAGAACCTAGATGGTCGGCACCTTGCCGCGATTGGTGTTGGTCACTGACTGCATCACCAATTTCTTAAGTTCCTCCCGTGTTTTATCAAACACAGAATCCACATTTGCGTCCTCACTTTTATTGCTGCTGGCTTCTCCACTAGACAATGCTCGAATTGTGTGCATCCTGTCATCCATATCAATCCTCTGCTGAACACAAAAGGACCATTGATCACCAATTCCAGCGTTAGACGTGGGTATTCGTCAAATGATACAGGATCTTGGAACCTCAGTTACTGCGGTCCAAATCAACAAATAAAAAGAGGGTAAAGGCAAAGGAAAGGAACACGCACTACCATCTAATTAGTAAAGAAGACCTAAAAAATAGCTCACCAGGTGATTGCATGGCAAACTCTTCCCAAAGTTGAGTGGTATGGCGAAAGATGATCCGAGCTTCGTCCTCGAAGAACATAAATTGTTTTCTGTCATCCGATGTTGGCCCCATTTCTGTCCCTGAGAACCCTCCGACACGTAAGTTGAGATCCAAAGACACAGAAAGTCGGAGCGATTCACGACATACGATGTATTGGAGCAGTGTGCGCAAGTGTATGCACCATTACCAGACAACAAATATTAAAACTGAGATACGTCTTGGCAAATCTGAAAATCCATGGGGGTAACAACACACACAAAAGCCTCCTCGAAGACCAACAAGTGGAAGATGCTTCAAGGTCAGGCAGATGCAGAATGAAAAGTCGCATTGGGTAATAGTGAGGTACAAAAAAAGCAAAAAGAAAACGGCACACAAATAGGGCAATTGAGAAGGGGAAGGAGAAGGAAGAGAGAGAGGGAATCAATCCACCTGGGGCAGAAGCACACTGGAAGGGTGGCATGCAAGCGAAGCAACGAGAGGGAGCGCCATGCGTGCAAGCAACCCGGCTGGCTTGGTATACTTGGATCGACAGGTTAATCGAAGGCAGGCAGCAAGCAAGTAAAGAAGGAAGCAAGTAAAGGAGAAAGTAAAGGAAGGAGGGAGGGATGGAGGGAGCACCACAACGCAGCACAGAGCTGGTGTCAGAGCCCCGGCACGGCACAGCCCAGGCAAACGCAAAAGCACTGGGAAGAGATGGGAAGGGATGGGAAGGGATGGGAATGGGGATGTAGGCGTGGCCTCACTCCCTCACCTCCCTCTCCTCTCTTCTCGTGTTGGGAACTGACCCACCATGCGAACACATGGGAAGTTAAACATCAAACAATATATATATCATTCTTTTAAAAATTAGTAATGATAAAAATGACTCTGAAATTCAAGACAAGAATGAAGAAGGAATTAATTTTTTGTACAGGATGAGAAAATTTCATCTCCAAAGTTATTAAGATATTAAAAATTAAAAATTAAAATATAATAAAATAAGACTTTAGCATTCACATTTAAAAACTACTTGTAGTTACAAAAATCTAATGCATAGGTAAAAAGTAAAAAAATCGTGTGTATGTACATCAATAAATAAATATATATATATATATATATATATATATTTTACACACTAATTCTTATTTGCATAATGCTAGCTTGAGAAATAAAATGTTACACAAAATAAAGGCTTATGATATTATTCTGAAAATTAAATATTATCTTAATTCAAGTTTTTGCTTACTTATTATATATGTGTAAAAATGTATACATGCCTATACTACAATTGATATAAAAATTAAAAAGGTACACAAGGAAGCTTGTAAATCTCATAGATAAGAAGCACAATCTAGTATTGCAATTTTCTTAACTACAATGCAATTTACATGTGTGCTACTCATTTTTCTTAATCTTACTAACTCAGATACTTAGCAAAAAAAAAAAAAAAAAAAAAAAAATCTAGTTTCTTTGTATTTGGTAATACCCATTATGATTCTTTTTTATTGTATATTTATATTGTCTAGGCTTACTCTTTCTCTTTTTGTGAGACATTAGGAGTTTCTAAATCAACTCACTTGTGTGTTAAGTACAATAAATGCACTTATTGTGCTTAAATTCACAAATTTTGTGAGTTTGTAGTAGAATTTTTAGAGAAAATAGAAAATAGATTGCTAATAGCTGATATGCATTCTATGATAGAATTTATTAAGACAAATTTCCAAAATAAATATGTTTTTTCTTTAAGTTAGCTAATACTAGATGATGGTCCAATAGGAATAGCTTGGATCGTCATGGATTCTCAATTAAGATAAGAAGCTAAGAAAGAATGATTGATTCTAAACAATTCAAAAAAAAGAAAAAACTTATTTGATTAATAGTTTTATTATATATATATATATATATATATATATATATATATATAATAAGTTAGAAGAAAAAAAAAATCAAAAGAGTAGAAAAAAGAAAAAATATAATCTTTCTATCCAGATGGATATTGGCCAGATTTCTCGGATGGAGTTTGGAGTAGTCCTAGACCTCGGCCGCCTTCTTTCTTCTCTCTCTTCCTTTTTTATTTTTATTTTAATTTTTTCTTCTCTCTCTCTGTTGTGATCTGGTGAGAGAACTCAGAGAATTTTGGTGCGTCTCCCTCACCCTTGCATATGGTTACGGCTGTTCCTCTTCATACTCTTGGAGGTGCTGCAATGTAGCATCCTCTCTTTTTGTTCTATGATCAGTGTAGAGCTGGGAATCGAAAGTTCTATGTTTTTTTTTGGTGTGTTCTTCTGGAGATCCAACTGCGAGGTGTTCAAGTGGTTGAGGCGTGCTGCAGCTGGAGCGATTTTCCACTGGTGGAGACTTAAGTGGTGGAGGTGTGCATCGTTTTTCCTTCCTTGACTCAGCAACGGAAGCATAGACGGTTGCTGTTGGAGCGTGATGTTACGAAGGTGGTGGTCCCACTGTTGAGAAGCCAATTATTGTTGTGTGTGCCGTTGGATCTACACAAAGACTTTGGTGGCACTGCGGAATTATCAAACTGTCTTATTGTGTGTGGGGTGGCGGTGGCTGTATTTGGTCAATCTTCTCTTCTGCAGCAATTCCCTCCCTCTTCGTTTTGGCACTAGTTATCAGCAATTCTGATCTCGGCTTGGTTCTGACGACATGTGACTTTGGCTGCCTTGCGCTGGTATTAGGAGTTCGATATTGCATGGGTTGTTGCTGGATTTACATCTAGACTATAATCTGATCATCAGAAAACATCATGTGTTCTCTGCTTGCTGTCAAGAGAAGGGTTGCAGCAAGACCGTTACATAATTTTTTCTTGGTTTGGAGTTGCTTGTGCGGTGTTGCTTGGATTCAAAGAGGAGATCAGCAGTCAGTGTTGTTTTTTTCCTTCGCCGTCGATGTTCCTATGGTTGGTGGCTACAACGGTTGCAGCAATTGGAACGAAAAGTTGGTACTCAAGAGATCTCATCAGCCACCTACGTCGACGTTGAAATGGGCAACATGATGCTATGTCTTGTTTTGATATAAATATAATACTTGATACCACTCTGTTGTAGAAGGACCTATCGTTTTAACAGAATGTAACCAAAGGTTCTAGGTGTGGATAGCCTTGGTGTCGAGTAATTAGCCCCAAATTGAGTAGTGTTAGAATCGATAACTTGTGCGTTGAATAGAGTGAATCGTAATTTAGGATAGATTTATTCATAGTTTGCATTTTGTTTGATTTAACTTCTGCATAGCCGCATCTATTTATGCATAGATCAGAATCTGCTCCCTAGCATACTATCACAGTCTTTGACAAGTGGGCCTCTAGCTTCTCTACACTTAACTTGATCTAAGATTCTGATCTTTGAAGTAGGATCTGCCTAATTGGCGTTCAAGATTGTTAGTAGATCAAGAAGAGAGGAATCCTCAGTTGCCGGGATCTTCTTGGAGATGTGTAGTAGGGATCGAATACCTGTGGTTTTAACCACAATGCAGTTTTTTATCGACCTCTAGAATTCTGCACAAGTATGTGAGGGTTGAAGCTTACATGAACCTGAGTGTCTACTTTGTCGTTTAATTTGCAATTGGCTTTACATGTGTATGGATGTAAGACAGTTGGCTAGGTGCCACACTCCATGAGTATGCTAAGTTCCACATGATTCAAGACATAGCCTTCTCATGCTGGTGATCTGGAACTTGGGTGATAATCGTTTGGAGAGGGAGAACGTGTGAGGACGACGATTTCAGCATGTGTGATCTCAAACAAGGATAGTGTAAGAATCCTTGTGTCACATTGAAATTTTGTCTTTGGGAAATGCTATAAATCTTTTTGGAGCGCTCTGTAAAGGCAAAGCTCCTCTACAATTATTTATTATCAGTAGAAGATTGCAACCAAGTTGAATTCAAGATTCATAGAAGGATTCTAGATTAAAAAGGAATCAATTAGGCTTTGGTGTGTTAGGATTTTGGATAAAATTTATTGAATGAATTTTAAATCAAGGATGGATTTTTGAATATGGATGAAATATGTAGATATAATACTATTCAAGGATGAAATTTTATCAATGGATAAATTTCAATTAAATAGAATTTCAAATAAGATAAGAAAAAATAAAAGAATTAATTAATTGATTAAAATTTAATATAATAAAAATCATATTAATAAGAAATTTTTTATTACATGGAATTGTCAAGTGACTTATTATTGTAAGTATGAGTTGGTAAAAGAGATTTTTGTTTAACTATTTGGTGAATTAAGGGGTTTTGAGAGTGAATTAAATTGGATTAATTAAGAGCTATAATTGGCTAAAATTACATAGTAATTCACTTGTTGTAAGTTAGGATAAATTTTAATTAGCAGAGGTTCATTTTATCTCATATAAAGATGACTTAGGAAGATTAAGAGTGACTCCATTGTGGATTAAACAAGAGTCATAATTTCTAGAATTCATATAGTTATTTTACTTGTTAAAAACTAGAGTAAACTTCTAAGTAGTGGAGGTTTATTTTAACTCACAAACATGCAAATATTATTTGATAGAATTTTTTCTAGATTTTTATCCTTGATGTTTAAAAAATTATATATATCTTTTTTGTACTATCATGTTTATTTAATTTATATAAATAAAATTAAGAAATAACAAAATAAATTTATTTAAAATATAATTAAATACCTTTAAGAAATTCTACAAGTCTACTTTGGATGTTTTTTTACATTAAATCTAAAATTAAAACTTAATTATAGTTGCAAAATATTGATTTAAGAAGATTTGATCATGTTTAAGATTTTTTCTAAATATTGTTATGATTTTTATTTCCTATTCTATACTATTTTTTCTTTTTGATATATTTTAATAATCTTTTACAATCAAATTTTTATAATTTAGATATAAGCATCTAATCAAAGAAAACTTTGAGTTTATATAGAATTAAAATTAATAAAAAAAACTTTCTAAAATTAAAAAAAAAAATCTTTGTCCTTATATATTATGTAGACTTGACATAATATGTAGTAATTAAAGGCATAATATAGTAATAACATTCTTTAAGATATATATATATATATATATATATATATATATATATATATATATATATATATATGTTTAATCTTCTTCTAACTTCTTTTTTTTTGTTAATATAGTTATAATTTTTATTTCTTAAATTTTTACCTCATCTTATCTTTTATACTTTACATACAAAAATTTAAGTAGTAATATGATTTAATGATAACATTATTTATATTCAAAAATTATCAATTGAACAAATAAATACTATCTCAACCTAATGTAATTCAATAAAGTCAAAAAATAATAAAGAGGTTCACATCATGTAATACTAGTAATTGATATATAACAAAAATCTTTATATATATATATATATATAAATATATATATATATAAATATATATATATATATATATATATATATATATATAATACTAATCAAGTAGAAATTATAAGATATATCATATTAAATAATATTTTAGAAAAAAAAACCTAAATAAGTACAAACTATCATGGATTAAATAACTATTATGAGTATATTAGATATTTCATTTTTTTTGAAATTTAGTAAAGACTATGGGACATTTAGCAAGAAATGTTTTAACATTTTATTTTACTTATGAATTTAACTTGTAAAATAAAACTTTAGTTGATTTTGGATGAAAAGTAAAAATGTAAAAGTTGTAAAACAAAATCTATTATAACATTTATTTTAATAATTCTAATTTT